ATTTTTCTTCACTGTCCGGCTCTCACACCCAGACACGGTGCTGGGAAATACAAGAGTGCGGAGGATCTTGGCTTTGGTCCCAGTCTTTTACAGCCTTGCCTTCCAGAGCCTGGGAAACTACCTTGTTTGGACTGCAACACCCGGGTCTCCTTTCCCCAGATCAATGAGGCAATTCTGAATATTATTAAGCCGAAGGAGGGGGAAAAAAGTAACTTTTTCACCCGCTCTCCTCCTCTGAGGCTAAACTCAGGCCGTCGCCGCGCAACGTTTGACCCAGCAACTGATTACGTCATAATCAGCCTCTTTTTTTGGACTGGATGATTTTCTCTCCCCCTCTGCCAATCGCCGCCTTGCTTTGGATTACTTTGCCAGCCGGTTGAGTAGCTCGCAAGAGAAGTGAGAGCGAAATGGCTCCGGTTCCATGTCTCCTTTCGCTTTTCGCAACGAGCGCCTTCTTTCTGGGAAGTTCCTTGGGCAAGTATCTCTTGGCTTTAAGTGACTTTGTGGGAGGGAGGGGCACAGTCCGCATCTGCAGGATTGTGATGGGTCTTCTTGTGTATCCTTGCTGCTCTGACCACCTTTTTAATCCGAATTCAACTCCACTTTTCCCCTTCAGTCTGCTCCTCCCGTCGTATTGCTCTGGGTCGAAGGGCCAGCTTCAGGACCAGGAAGCAGCATATATAACGATCTGTTCCATTTATATCCTGCTTTCCCTCTTAAGTGGCATAGGTAGTTCACCTTGGTGTCCACATCACATCTGGGGAGAAGGTGTGTAAACGGTCCAGAATCATTCAGGCAGTTTCAGGAGAGGGTGAGGATTTGAACCAAAGTCTCCTGAACCCCCCACTGAATGCTCTAACCACTATGCGGCTCTGCCATTCTTGGCAGGATCAGGTGTCACTCGCGTGCGTGCGCGCGCGTGCACACACACACACACACACACACACACACAAACAAATCTACTTTCGCTTGTGGCTGTTTTTATGTTTTTAATGCCTCCCCCCCATTTTTATGGTAAGTGACTCAGGCTGTTATTGCAGTTAGCAAGTAAATAAAGCTGATGCTTTAGCGCAGGAAGCGAGACATACAAGAGGACTAGCTAAAAAGATATATTTTAAAAACCCAAGCCCATTTAAATAAATAAGATTACCTTTCAATGGCATTTCAATTCAGGAACTGGTCCTAGTTTCCTTAACCAGGACCAGACACAGATCTTGGATTAGAACTCATGTGCTTTGAATCTGAAGAAGCAGAAAGATTTCATGGGCTCATATCATAAGTCGAGGGAAATGTGATGGCCCAGTATAACAACTTTCACTAAGTTATATTGCCCAGAATCCTATTTTGCCCTGCCATCTCGAACAGCAGATTTGAGGCGTCATGAACCAGCAGGAAATTTTTTAGGGTCATTGTGATTGTGGGTTTTACTGTTGTGAGATGTGTGTCAAGAGGAGAGGAGTGAGAGAAGTACTTTTTTTAGCTTCCTTTCTCACATGCTAAAAAAAGTGGCTGGTTTGGGATACTTGGAGTTGCCTGGGGAACAGCTTAGAAGAATAATATGTTTGGACGGCAACTCCTAAAATCTCACAACCACCCTGTCCAGAAGCTTTGATGTAGGTGCAGAGTGATTTTAAATCAGCACATTGTCACATTCGTATTGATCCAACTGTGTGAGGTTGTGTCACACAGGGCGGCTTTTCTCACACAAGGCGCAGTGGTGGAATTGAACTCTGACCCTCTGGCTCCCCAGCTAAATACCTATAACCTTGAGCTTTAGTGGAGGAAGAAAATGAGCTAAATTAAATAAGTGACAATAATTCAATTACCTTTCACCCAATGATAGAGCCGGCCCTGATCTTCCCCATGCATTACTACATGGAGTTTGTGAGAAGTGTCACGTTTCGCTTTCCCGCTTAAAATAGCTAAAATCCTCATACCTTCTTGCCACGATCACAAGACAAGGAATGATGGCAGTTACTTTGCATTGGTTGATCTTTCCTTCCCTGAGCGGTGGTTTCCTGTTTTTCTTCGAATTTAAATGCTGCCGTCTTCAGCCCCCAAAAGAAGCTCAAGCTGGTGTGTGAGAAAGATAGCAAACCGTCTTATGAATAGGTCAACTCTGGAGATGTGAACAGTTTTTAAAAAGAGAGAATCTTGTGGGTTTAAGCCAGCTTCTAACTCAAACCGTTTCTACCCTTTTAAAAATGTGTGTTTTTTAAAGAGTACTTTTGCAGAGGGTCTCATTCTGATTTTGTCTGAGTGGGCAGAGGCTGAGTTAAGTTCCTGGTTAAGAGATCGGAATAGGGGGACTGGATGAAAAAGACTTCCTCCACTCTTCAATAGTTACATGGAAGATGAACTTTCAGCAAGTGTGGCTGTAGCGTTTACCCTCGTGGCCCCTGCTTGTCTTTCCCTCACAAAAGCTCACGTCGCTTTCTCTTCTCGCTGCCACCAGTGAATTACCACAATCCACAATATAAAGGACATTGGCTGTCAGTTTATGACAAAATTTAGCAAACAATAGTTGGGTTTCGTGTTACATGTAAGAGAAAGGGTACAGGAAAATATAACGGTATAAACGTGTGAGACAATCTCAGCTCTTAGGAGACCAAGTTATCTGAAGAAAGATTTACAAAAAAATACCTACAGACATACAGTGGTGCCTCGACTTAATGACCATAATCCATTCCAGAAGATGGACGTAACTCAAAATGGTCGTAAGTCGAAGCACCATTTCCCATTGAAATGCATTGGAACACAATTCCAGAATTCCCCAATTTTTTTTTAAAAAAATAAAAACAAAACACTGCAAGCCCCAAAAAACAAACAAACAAAAACAAACAACAACAAAAACCAGAAACATAACCCCCCAGCCCAAACCCACTCTGCAAAGCCCACCCACAACAGTTTTTAAAAAGCAAAAATTTAAAAAGCAAAAAGCAGCACCTTACCTTAAAAAGCACTCCAGGGCTCCCACAGGTCTCTGGCATTCAGGGCTGTCCGTGCGCGGGGGAGAAACTCAAGAGGCACTGGCTAGAGAAGCTGGGAACTGGGCAGCAAGAGACAAAGGGAGCCTCAAACACTGGCCGAAGGGAATGGGACCAGGACCGGAGACCTGGCCGGGGCGGATCCGGGCAGGTGGGTGCCTACTCCGGAGCTGCCTTCTCTTCGGGGGGGGTGTTGGACTCCTGGTTCCTGCTTGGCCCCCTCCGGGCGAGGGGTTCCTGGCCAAGGGCAATGTCCCGGACGCCTCTTCCAGACGGACTCCCCCCATCCGCCCACCGCCTCCTGCTCCGCCACGGCTTCCCTCCCTTCCTTCCACGCCAGCCGGAGGTATGATGCCTCCAGTATATTAGAGTATGTTCTCTTCTTGCCAGGGATAAAAAAAAATATTAAATTTCCAGTCTGAACACTGGTGGTGCATAAAATGAGCGACTGTGTTCCCTCAGACAGTGAAATAGCTTGGGGCAGCCCTACTGTGATCTACGTTTCCTGCCAGTGGGCAATTTCCAGGTGGTTTTGGACTACGATTCTCACCAGCCCTAACCAGAGTAGTGGTTTCCAAACCTTGGACTACAACTCCCAGAAGCCATAGGTAGCACAAATCATGGTCTGGCCCTCTAGGAGTTGTATTTATTTGGGACCCTAGTTCAGGAGCCTGTGTGCTTGAGGGCTTCATATTGCCTGTGCCTCTATATAACGGACTGAGCTCCTCATGTATGTTGGGCCTCCAAAATTGGAGCTGGAGTGGGAAGGGGTGGAACTCAGCAGCACTCGATGGCGCAGGCCCTCTCAGACCACGTGTCCCTCAGTCAACTCTGGCCCTCTCTTCTCAGGTTCCTCTTCCCGTTCTTTTTGGACGATGTATACTTCTGTGACAAAACCCAGCCTGGGGATGCCCCACTTCACTGCTGTGGCCTATGTCGATGACCAGCTCCTCGCGCGCTATGACAGTATCACGAGGAAGATGCTACCCCAGACTCCCTGGATGAAGAAGGCAGCAGAGGAGGACCCTCGGTACATCGACCGGTACACTCAGATCTTGCAGCATGACGAGGAAAATTTCAGAGGCGACCTGGTGATGTTACGGAAACGGTACAATCAAAGTGAAGGTGAGTGGCGGTTGGGACACAGTCTTGCAAGAGAAAGGGTTGTTGGGAGGGAGGAGGAAGAAAGTTTATCTGGGGAGGGAAGGCCTGGATCTTACTGGAAAACACAGTCATGGTGAGAAAAGTACCAGGCAATAGGAGAAGAGGAAGACGGAACATAGGATCGACTCCATAAAGAAAGACACCAGCTTGATGGCGTATGACAACAATGGTTCTAGAGACATGGGAGAGATGCCAGTTAGAAATGTCCCATCTCATGACAAAATCAAGTGGCCAACTTTGGCATCTGAATGTAGGGATGGGGGTCAAGCAGGACAATCAGTTGTCTTCCCCCTCCCTCTGCAATCTGAGGCTAGAATTCGTATCAGAACATCTTGGGGCTTCATGGAGTAGCCATTTAAAATGGAGGAAGAATGGCCATCCTAGGCCTGTTGAAGTGACCAGCCGTTGTGGTCCATCATACATGCTCAGCCTCACCTGCCTTGGGAGGTGGCTATGAAAACCGAAGTGGAAAAGAGAACAGCGTCTTTTTGCCTTGAACTAACTAGAGAAAAAAGAAAAATGAAGAGAAGGGTTTCGGGAAGCTGGAACATCTCCAGATGATTGGGAGACTCGAGAAGAAGAGAAAGGGGAGGGGTACCACGATGTGCTGCCAAGTCAATTCTGACTTACGGCAACCCGTGTTCAGGGTTAGTAAAAGGGAGAATTTCAGCAGGGCTGCTGAGAAGCGATCAAAGGCTCTTCTCTACGGCAGTGAGAGATTTGGGGTTCCTTGTCTTCCCTTCCACTTGTTGTTCTGTGCCGTCAAGTTGCTTCTGACATGCGGTGACCCTATGAGAGAGTGATCGAGGTGTCCTGTCCTCAACGGCCCTTTCTGGCTTTTGCAAACTCAACCCTGTGCCTTCCTTTAGGAGTCAATCCATCTCATCTTTGGTCTTCCTCTTTTCCTACTGCCTTCCACCTTTCCCCAGCATGATTGCCTTTTCTAGAGAATCCTGCTTTTTCATGATGTGCATGAAGTATTACAGCCTCAGTTTCAACCTTTTTATCTCCATACATAGTTCAGGCTTGACTTGATCTAGGACCTGCTCGGTTGTCTTTCTGGCAGGCCAGGAAGCTCTCCTCCAGCTCCACATTTCAAGAAAATATTTTTTCCCCTGTCAGTTTTCTTTACTGTCCAGTTTTCACACCCATACAGGGTGATCAGAAATACAGGAGTGGGAATGATCCTGGTGACACATCCTCACACTTGATGTTATTGTCTAATTCCCCCAATGCTGCCCTTCCTAGTCTCCGTCTTCTTCCGATTTCTTGTCTACTGTCTCCATGTAGATTGATGATTGAACCAAGATATGCAAAATCTGTAGCTACGTATTTCCAGTGGACTTGACCACATTCTTTCAGGGGAGAAGGTGGCACCGGGTGGGTCCGAGGCATTGGCAACGCTGGTAATACCAGCTCTGCTTTCTCCACGAGTGCATTATGTGTCCATGTTTTAGGTTTTCACACGGTACAGATGATGATTGAGTGCAAGGTGAGGCCGGACGGCCGCAAGGGTGGGTGCTGGCAGTACGGGTACGATGGGCGGGACTTCATCAGCTTTGACATGGAGCACCTCCTCTGGACTGCGGCTGACCCCCAGGCGCAAGTGATCATGAGGACGTGGGAGACTGAAACAGGCCTGGTCCTGCGTCTCAAGTCCTACTTGGAGGAAATCTGCACAGAGTGGTTCCAAAAAGACTCAGCCTACAGGGAGGAGGGCTTACGGAAAGGTAAGGGGTTGAGGACCTGGGGGGGGAGCAGATTTCCTTCGTGTGCTCTTGTACTTGCTCTCTTTACGTCCAACGCCCCCAAATTAGCCACAGGCTGGACTGCTAAGAGGCAACAGTAGAAGGCTGTCTATCCTGGTTTTAACATCCCCGAACCCACAAAATATTTTTATTTTAAAACCATGTGGGGGGAGCAGAGTTCGTTCGTGTGCTCTTGTCCTTGCTCTCTTTAGCTTCCCCCCCCAAATTAGCCCCAGGCTGGACTGCTAAGAGGTAACAGTAGAAGTCTGTCTATCTTGCTTTTAACATCCCCAAACCCACAAAATATTTTTCTTTTAAAAACATATGCTTTTAACTGCATAGCTCGCGCTTGCCATCTAGAGGCCCACCGGGAGCAATTTTGCCATTATTTTGCTGGCCCCAGAGCTGTAAAAGTTTTCCCTGTCCCCAGCCTAAAACACTTGAGGGAAACTCTAAAACTTTTTCCAAAAAGTTCTTCCTGTGGCCTCAAGAAGTTGCAAGGGGACCTGAAGAACAACAACAAGAACAGACAACACTTCTTCCTCTTGAAAAAAGCAAGCAGGGGGTACCGTTTTGAATGCTAACTTTTTTTTAAAAGAACAAATTACTAGAAGTACTAAGCCAGATGGGGAAGCAGAGGATTTTCCTCCCTTAGCTGCATATTATCTCCTTGTATGGAATTCTTGTCTTTTTAGAGTGGTGAGGACATCAAAATAAGTTACTCGAGTTTTGTAAGTTTTGACGTGTGAACTGCAGAGTAGTAGGCATCCTTCAGTCTCGAAAGACTATGGTGTCGTGCTCTGTATGGAGGACTTGGAACAGCGTCTAGTGTGGCTGAGGAGGCCAATTCGAGAGTTACAATCTCTTCCACACTGAAGACAAATCCAATCTGTCCCCTGTCCAGCTCCCTGGTTTTGCTTCCTTTGTGACTTCCTCTTTGCCTCGGCCTGCTGGACAAGGGTCTCTTCAAATTGGGAGAGGCCGTGATGTGAGCACTAATGGTGCGGTATATAAATCAAATCAATTATTAACACATAAAGTAAATAAAATCCTCCCTGTCATCCTCTTAATGCTTGCTGCTTATATACCGCCGCATAGCGCTTCAAGCACTCTCTGGGTGGATTACAAGTTAATTATGCAGGCTACGCATTGCCTGCCCCCCAGTGAGCTTGGTAGTCGATTTACTGACCTTGGAAGGATGGAAGGCTGAGTGAACCTGGAACCAGTTACCTGGGATTGAACCCTGGGTCATGAGCACAGTTTTGGCTGCAGGACAGCCGTTTAACTGCTGAGCCACGAGGCTCCTACCAAACACAGGAAAATGTCGCCCTCTTGTTTCTCCAACCCAGGAAAACTGATCAGAATTCATGATCCAAGTCACCGTTTCATTACATTTCCTTGGGTTTGGTATCAATTTGGATGACGATGGCAGAGGAGAGCATAGAATGAATGGACTAGACCCTCCTCACAGATCCCTGCATCTGGAACACATTATTCCTCCCCCCTTTAAATGAAATCAAAGCTTGGGGAAAATACTTTAAATTATTCATTTATTTATCTTTTTGTATACCACCTCTCAGTGCAAATGCTCTCTGGGTGGTTCGCACAACCTATCAAAACATAATGATCATCATACAAACGAACAGATACATTTAAAAACAATAAAAACCCTGTCTCTAGCTGAATTGATATAACCAGCACTTAAATAGATGAAACACATTTAAAACAAAATTTGAACATCTCTATTCGTTTTCATGCTTAACTGGAGAACATGACACTGATGGATTTGAAATTTTTTTAAGAACAAATGCTTTCAGCGTAACATTAAAATGTTATTTTCAAACCTTTTTTTAAGATTAGGTCTATTCTCATATCAAGTGGTCATTTAAAGAATAATGCATTAAATATAATGCACTGGATGAAATAGTCCCGTCTTCTCTTGCCTCCCTCTACATCTCCTCATGCTGGGTCAACTGGGGCCAGGAAATTACAGTTGTGCTTGGTAGCCATGACTTAGTTTCTACTAGTCAGCTGTTAAGGCTACTCCCACCATGACAGTTTATCTATATTGTCTGAGGCAATATACTGAGACCCTAATCCAGTACACTTGGTAAAAATGAGCACGGCTGTTCATGATAGAGCATTGTGAAGGCAACTAATTAATAGAAACGTCATCTGTCGGAAATGGCTTGAGGACTCAAAATAGCAACAGTCTTGTACCTCCTTCTAGAAGACAAGCAACCAATTTATCCTCATAAACTTGTGTTGCTTTGTAATTTCCCAAGCCCTGTGATTCCCAGGCAGCACAGGGGTAGTTTCCTTGTTTTTGAAAAAAGAACCAGGCCGAACAAGGCAGCCTAGAAGTGAGGAAAGCTAGTCTGTGGACTTCTGTTTTGGGGCTGCATCTCCCAGAATTCCGGCTGGGAAATTAATAATAATAATAATAACCTTACACCTGCGGAGCTAGAAGGGACCCTCTGGATCATCGAGTCCAGCTCCTCTCAAGGAGGCCCAGCGGGGAATCGAACTCCCAACCTCTGGCTCCCCAGTTGGATACCTGTACCACAGATTCTGAGAACTGGAGCCCAGACCCCTGTTGTTAAAAATACACCATCTGTCCAGCCACCCACAAGAAAGGCTTTGCTTCTGATGAAGGGGCTCATCGTTTTTGCTTTGTTTTCTTTTGCAGAAGCCCCGGTGGTGAAGGTGACGAAGAAAGGGGACTACGATGGCATGGAAATGCTCGTCTGCCAGGCTTATGGCTTCTACCCTCGGGAGATCGATGCCTTGTGGACGAAGGACAGGGAGGTGTGGGTACAGGACACTTTTCATAGAACGGTGGCCCCCAACTCAGACGGGACCTACCATGCCTGGCTCAGTATCAGGATCGACCCCAAAGACAGCGACCGCTACCGGTGCCACATCGATCATAACGGGCTGCAGGAGCCTCTGGATTTGGCCTGGGAGGAACCAGGTGAGGAACCCCAAGTTTGGGGAAAGCAGGGTGATTTATCAGTAGAGATGTTTTCATCTCCAGGTGTGTTCTTAGGCAAATAATTTGGATGCTGAGTTTTGAAAATCCACTACCTTCTAATCATACAAATGCACAAACGCACAACTTTGCCACCAGCCTTCTGTTGCAGACCTTTGTAATTCTTTGTGGTTAACTTTCCTCAACTGTGCAGCAGACGTGCCAGGACTCATGAAGAACAGTAGTTACTAGTTCCCAGATAATGCACCCCTTTCATTAACTGGCACTTACAGTCTCAGTCACACAATCTGAGACATTAGTATAAAGAACAAACTGTTTCATTTTAGTTACAAGTATAAATATATATACAAGTTAACTAACTAGCAATATGACAGCTTTTTAACAATTCTGCTCCAATATACTTTAAACAGAATTTTCTGCTAACCACCATCAATGGATATTAATAAACTCTCTCAGGGGAAAAGAACCTGAGCAAAGAGGCGGGGCTTTCTCAGAATTCTGGCACACAGGCGAGAACTATTGGTTGGTCTCTGGACAGATTGACAGTTACTCCCAGCCTATAAAGATCCTTCCCAGCCAACCAAGCTACAAGGCAGCATTTGAAGTTGTAAAATCTAGCACCTTCTGCCTATACTAGTGGAGATACTTTATTTGTGTAGAATTTTCATCCTCTTATTTGTACTCTTATTTGTGTAGAATTTTCATCCAGGGCTGGTAGTGTTTTCCTAGGATGCAGGGCAGGAAATGCGCCTGCATTGTTAGGCAGCCATCTGCCTCTTGTCCCACCTCCGACCATGAAGGATTCATGCAAACCTTGCCAGCAATCGAGGAGGGGGTGGGTGGTCCTCAGAGATCCTCGACCAATAATGATGGTTAATAGTTTAATTTTAACCTCAGTAGTGGCCAAATGCAGTTTTTACGGTGACGTAATGTAAATAGGTGCTATTGGTTTCAGGATAACATTTACCAATGATAGATTTACATTATTGTGGAGTAGAACTGGTAAAAGCACTCCTTACATATATTCACGAAGATCTAATGGTTGTTGTGGGTTTTTCGGGCTCACAAGGACCGGGGATCACTACACACAAAAGACCAGCTAATGACACCCATCAATCACAGAGACAGATAATCTCTCCTCCTTATCACAACAATACACCCACAAGACGACACACTAATCTCCCATCTCCTGAATAGGACAAAAGCCTATCTCACAGCCATAAATACTCCACTCCCAAGCAAACTACACCAGAGCACAGAGTGCTGTCCTCTGAAGAGGCCAGCCACAGTGACTGGTGAAACGTTAGGAAGAACAACCTTCAGAACATGGCCATAGAGCCCGAAAAACCCACAACTCCTTAAATACCTCACTTCCTTTGAAAGCCACGTTAGGGTTCCTATAGGTTGGTGCCAACTTGATGGCTCATAGATAACTAAGTAAAATCTTAGCCAGTTAGGCCTTCTGTATCACAACATTCCAAGTGATGACTGCTCTTTGGTCTCCATTGGTTCTCCCATGCCACAGGTTTTCCCCGTAACCGGATAATGTTTTCCAGGGTCTCTTTCAATGATTTATTCTTCCTTCCCCATTTCCTCCCTCCCCCACAGCATCCCTTATTTGGCCAATTATTTTGGGTACCACAGGAGCCGTCTTTGCTGCGGTGGTTGTTGTCGGAGCTACTGTGCAAATCAGTGAGTAAATTGTGGGTGCATTTGTGGAGGTGGGGGTGGGGAGCTCTTCCTTTGGCTGGAGGAGCAGATCATCCTGCCAAGTGTAGCCTGTGAGGTGGGATCCTTGGTTCCTTTTCTCTCCCTTCTATCTGTGCCCAAGTCTGTCTGTCTGTCTGTCTGTCTGTCTGTCTGTCTGTCTGTCTGTCTGTCTGTCTGTCTGTCCGTCTGTCTTTCTTTCTTTCTTTCTTTCTTTCTTTCTTTCTTTCTTTCTTTCTTTCT